CTCTCCCCTCTGCTGTTTTCACTCTACACCAACAACTGCATCTCGAAGGACCCCTCTGTCAAGCTTCTAAAGTTTGCTGATGATATTGGTCATTGGTCTCATCTGAGATAGTGACGAGTCAGCCTACAGACGGGAGGTTGAGCAGCTGGTCCTGTGGTGTAGCCACAACAACCTGGAGCTGAACATGCTCAAAACAGTGGAGATGACAGTGGACTTCAGGAAGAGCAACCCACCTTACAAATTCCTTGTTTACTCAACATACTTGGCAATTAAAGCTGATTCTGATTCTAAATAAATTAAAAAATACACAAATATAGCCTTCATGTAAAACATAACAGATATGTGCTTACAGGTCTGGTGTGAAGGATTCATCAGTGTGGATGACTGTATCTGGTGGGATGTCCTCCTCACTGTCTGTCTTCCAGAGCATACTTAGCTCAGAGCGCATGTAGCGCCGCTGGTTGTACGTGTGCTCATGACACGGCGGCATCTGCTTCACTGTGTTTATGTCCACGTCAATGTGCGTGGTCGGGTACGGGGAGTAGAGCACCTGGCGGAAGGGCAAGACACAGCTGCCTGTGGAGTCCTGGGAATGACAAAAATAGGGGGGACACACCTGTAGTGACAACCTGATGACCCCTGGGTGATCATACAACCTGGTATGACTTTTTTCTTTTTTTTTTTGCATGACGTGGTTTATATTTTTCTATACTGTGTATAGGAAAAATGTTTCCTCCATCACATTCTGTCCCAGTGCAGAGCAGACAACACAGTGCACACTAGAGGAAACAATAGAAAGCTGCTTATTTGCAAAAAAGCAAATTATTTATTGCAACGTGATACATTTATATATAAAAATACAATTAAAAAGGGATTAGCTTACCAAAACATCCTATGTCTGTCTCATGCTAAGAAGCTTTAATAGACAATGAGCATCCAGAAGCCCTTTTTATTGTTTCTCCCTGGGACAGTTTGTTTTGTTCCCCAGTGCATTTTATGTGGAAATCCATAAGAAGATCCAGCAGGATCTACACAGCACGGCCAATGTGCACCATTGTTACTCCTTGATCGTGACTGAATGAACAAGCTCTGCAAGTTTTAAGCTCCATCTTTTGCCGTTGTCATTCCATTTTTTTTTATTATTTTTTTTTACTTTTAGTAATTCCTCCTGCCTGACAAAGCAGCAGTTAAGAACAAGACAATTTTTCTAAAACCTTCAACTTTTCTTATCTTTAAAACATTTTCAATACTTGACCCCAAGTAATTGTAGAAAACTGTTTAAATTAAACAGCAGAATACATGAACAACTGATCTGATTTTGCACTTGGCAGCTGTGGTGATTAAAATTAAAATGTTAGATGACGCCACAAAAAGCTCCATGTATTAAACCAGCTGGGAACCTTATGCAATGTAGTAATAAAAGTATCTTATTGCAACTAGGGATGAGAGAATAAAATTGTTTCACATTAGAATCTCGATTCATATCTTCCATGATTCTAAATTGATTCATGAATGCTAAAAAATGGTTTTTGTAATAATTTTGACGTAACAAAAAAGGTGGACACGAACATACTAGAGTTATGTTGTTGTATATCTAAGGTTGTAATGTTAGTTCATCTTCAATCAAGGAATTCATTTGCTTGTGTGTTAATTACTTGATAATAAACTTTGATAGACAAGTGTGGAGGATGGTACTTCATAGACCATCAACAGAATTACGTTAGGGTAGCGGAGTAGCGAACCTTTAACAAACAAGCAGCTCAGTGACAGCTTTCTTTCTTAGTAATGCTGCAGCACAGACACTGTTCTCCACTGACATAACGTTAACAACAGCACAACCGAGCTGTTGTAAAGTACTTGGTCTTGATGCTTATCATAACCAGTTACAGGTGCAGCTCAATAAATTAGAATATCGTGGAAAAGTCCATTTATTTCAGTAATTCAACTCAAATAGTGAAACTTGTGTATTATATAAATTCAGTACACACAGACTGAAGTACTTTAAGCCGTTGGGTCTTTTAATTGTGATGATTTTGCTCACATTTAACAAAAACCCACCAAATCACTATCTCAATAAATTAGAATACCTCATAAGACCTATAACTTAACATTTTTAGTGAATTGTTGGCCTTCTGGAAAGTATGTTCATTTACTGTATATGTACTCAATACTTGGTAGGGGCTCCTTTTGCTTTAATTACTGCCCCAATTCGGTGTGGCATGGAGGTGATCAGTCTGTGGCACTGCTGAGGTGGTATGGAAGCCCAGGTTTCTTTGACAGTGGCCTTCAGCTCATCTGCATTATTTTGTTTCTCATTTCTCATTTTCCTCTTGACAATAC